ATGCCTAGGATTTAGAAATAAAATCTGACATCTGGGGCTTTTTAGCCAGTCTCTTTAAAAACAGTTGTAGAAAACTCACAGCCCTTGGTTTTATGTAGGTTTTTTAATTACTTAAAGTTTCTCTTTTTAATTTTTTACAGTGCTCCAGTAGGAGCTTGGAAGGCAGATATAAAAACTTACATTACAGCTGAGAAAACACAGCTTTTACTCTCTGGTTTATGGGGTTACCAAAGTCTTTGTACACATGGGGTTTAGATACCAAAACAGCATGCTTTACATTTCAGTGCAGGAGAAAATAAAAAGGGGTGGGAGGGCAGAGGGTTCCCCCCCAAAAAAGTGCAAGAAACTTGTAAAGGCTGTTCTAAACCACCAAGCAGAATTCCTGTGCCCTTTCCCTTCTCAAAACCCAACATGTGGTCTTAATCTTAATTCTTAAGACCTGAAAACAGTTTTCCAATTTCCGGAATGGCTTCAGGCCATTGGCAGGCCATGGCTCCAAAGGATAACAGAGCTGTGACCATAAACTGGCTTTCATGGTTGTGCCGCTGTGTGGGTCCTACTGCACAGAGCGTGCTCCGTGGCGAAAAATGGCCACTGGCCACGAACAAGCCCAGGAGGGAACCAATGGCAGCTCTGTGTGTGGGATGGGGACAGCAGGGTATGCGGGCTGCACATCGGACACGGATCACCAAAAGGCACCTGAATGCTGGCGTCAATGCGGCCGGAGAAGCGGTAGCTTTGTCCGTTCTCCAGGAGGGGGACTGTTAGGAAAGTCAGCGCGAGGGCCCAAGTACCACCTGAAGCACGTTCTCAGAACTAACCCCTGTGTCTGTAACAGTGACAGCCAGCATTTACAGAGCACTCCAAGGATCGCACCGGATCCTCATCGCAACAGTACTGTGAGGCGGGGCCTATTTTTAAAGATGAGAAAACTAAGACTGAGAGGAACGAAGTGACTTCAGTAGGGTCACACGGCTAATAAAGTGCCCCAGGCTGGCATCTGAAGTCTGAGCCCAGTGCTGTACCCACCAGGCCACCCAGCCACTAGCTTCTGCCCTCCTCAATCTTGGGAAACACAAGAGTCAAACCCTGTGCAGACACAGCAGGATGGCAACGTTGTGGGGATGCTCCAGTGGAACCCAGATCACCTATCCCCCACGGCGCTACTTTACTGTCTCCAACTTCTGAAAGCACAGGCTCAGGACCACCAGAAAGAAAGCACTATCAAGCGGGTGACGGATGGATGCGAGGGGCAGGGAGGGAGAGGAGCGGCAGGCGCACTGCCAGCTGTGCCTTCAGGCACTGTTCTTTCTCCTCTCGGGCAGGTGCAACAGCAGAAGGCTTGGCCAGGAGACCGGTGTTTACTCAGTGCCCACGTTTAGAAAACCTTGTGTCTGTCAGACGATGAAGAGGATTCATAATAAAAAGAATAGATGATTCCTACCCTCAAGGAGCTTCCACCCTAACTGGAGACACAAATCTTGCACACGTGGAGGAGACCAAACAAGGCCGAGTGAGCAATGCAGAAACGAGTCCCCGGTAACAAAGTAGAAGAACGTGCCGGGCTGAAAGAAGGGCTATGGGGTTAATCTAGGAAGCCTTACTCAAAGAAGGGAGGCTCCCCGAGAGTGACAACCCCTGCCCCAAGGGCAAACAGAACCACTTAGCTAAGAGGGGACAAGGCCACAGGCTCCCCCCGGGGGCACGCTGAGGCTAGATCTCGGAACAAGAAGCCCCAGCATATCAAGCTACCGGCCTGGGAAGAAGGAAAGATGCCAGTGACTACAGCGAAACCCCAGCCACAATTGCCCATTCCCCCCCAAGGCCCCTCAACTGCTTTCTCCTGGTAGGGGGAGGCCGCCAGCGGGGCAGTCAGACAGTTACTGTTCACTCTTTCCCTGGGACCAGGCCATTTTCTTTTTTGAAACTCTCTTTGACGACAAGCTTTACTCTGGTTCTTCTTTGCTGTTCCTAATTTGTTCTGTGTTGCAACCTGGCCATTGCCCTTGGAGTTGTAAAGAGACTCAGAATCAGACACCACCACCAGCAGAATACGGGTATTAGAGACGGGTCTTCATGTCAAGACATCCCCTTCCTGAGGTCACTGGTCCTCTGCGAGGACAAAGGACAAACGACAGTCTGTGAGCAGTAGTATCTCCCTGACTGAGGACCCAACTGGTCAATTCCAATTGGGCGACGCTGCCCACTCTTCCTCCCTTCCTTCCTCCACATGGGGAATCATACATTTACATGTGGGTGCTCTGCCCAAAGGAATATAAATTCTTGAACTAGAACTCTGTTAAACTTTGATAAAGCCCATTTGGATTCACACGGAGCTCCCTGACTATGCCTTAAACCCAAATCTCTCTGGCTCTCACTGACTGGCCAATAATAAGTCCCAGCCCAAGCCTCTGTGGGTCACTGTTTGGATTCTGATGGCTCAGAATGAGCGTACATAGCAATTGTTTTGTTCTGACCAGAAACCCCAGTATTCCCCTCTGAAACAGAATTTCTTTTTTTGAATAGGCAAACGAAGCCATCTTTTGCTTCATTTCTTACCCAACCTTAAATCACTGAATGGGTGTTGCCTCAGACAAACTGAGACCTGGGAAAGACTTTTGCTTAAAAAGGCTGAGGTCTCCCACTGCATCCAAGGCCATCTCCAGTCATCCTGATCTATGTTCTGCCACTGGACCCAGACGGCTGTGGAGAAGAAAGTGAGGCTGGTGACTCTGCACAGCCCTACCTCACTTAAATCCAATTCACATGCAAGGTATGGCATCACCTTCCTAATATCGTGGTCTTCTTCAAAGGACAAACAACAACAAACATTTCAAGGAGAAATGTGGGGTCCTTCAGGAGCTCTGCAATCTTCCCATGAGGATTCCTGCTTGTTCTCTTCCTCTTCTCTAGTTCTGGACCCAGTTCATCCTCCATTTGCAGCATCTGTCCAAGGTGTCTACACTGAAGAACAAGCTCTATGGAGTCTGCAGCGCTTCATCAAGACAATTTTAAAGCCACTTGATTCTTCTTCCCACATGAATGAAAGGTGAAGCTCTTTGGAAAGGATACCAGGCTCCTCCAGGGCTTCATGAGACCAGCACAATGTCATCTACAAACAGGACCATCTGGAGGACCTCACCAGCTACAGGGATCCCTCCTCACCTTCAATTCTGTACCAAATCTCCTCCAGGAGAGTGGTAAGCACTTCAGTGACGATCACAGAGCCACAGAAAAAGCTTCTCTCTGCTGTTTGGTCTTTCAAGGAATTCTGGTGTATGTGTACATGGGGGACAACCTGGAGCAGAGTTTTTCAGGTGACATTTAGCTCTACTGAGTCAAACACTTCTATAACACAAGCTGAAATATATTCAGTCAAGTAAGGGTAAAGATGAGGTCTACCATGGCGATCCCTTCCTCAAGCACTCCCTGTGTGACCTTGCAGGCATGTCGCCTCCAGCACAAGTGGGTGACACCCACTCATGCTGTTGTTTTCCCGTCTTCACTCTTTGGAGCATCATTCCTATCCCCCCCACCCCTACCCCCTGAAGCACGCTCTGGACCGGGCTCTCACTGGCCAACAGCCACCAGTGACTCTGGCTTGCTTAATGAGGATCATGAAGAGTGCTTTTATTAAAAACAACAAAACTTGGGATATCTTTTCCACCTTGCACCTCTTTGCTCTCCTCCTCTTCCTAGCTTCACTCTTACATGCTCTTGGGATAACTCTGCTTAGATGAATCCCTCACCAGACTTTCTTCAAACCTGTCTGACCCACCTTTGTAGCCCTCTGTTTCATGAAGGGATTCTGCTCACAAGCTCCCAGAGCTAGCTAGCAATTATATAAAGGCTTTAAGGTTTATGCGTTACAAATATTACCTCACAACCCTGAGAGCTAGGTGCACAATGATCCCCATTGCCAGGATGAGGAAACGAGGGTGCACAGAAGCTAAGTGACTTGCCTTGGGTCATACAGCGAGGAAGAGTCTAAAGCTGGATTTGAACCCAGGTCTTCCTCACTTCAGGCCCAGGACTCCTTCCACTATGTCACCTAGCTGCCAGTTTTTTTCTCTCAGAACCCAAATTTGGAATACTGTACACAGAAGTGCTCTCAATCAGAAAGAGAGTCCTGTAAATTCTCCTGACATTATTAACATGCCTAAGGCTAGAATCATATTTCAATCAACCACATCCCTCAGCATTTATTAAGTACACATTATGTGCCAGGACTGTGCTAGGTGCTAGGCATACAGCAACAGGAGTGAACAGACCCTCCCCTGAGGAGCTTACAAAGGAGACACAGCCATGCACACACGTGTTTGTGGGGATGCCATTCACCCACAGATCCATGTATACATGTGTGCACATGCGTGCGTGTGTATTACAGCAGCCCGAGGAGGTGGGGCGGGGAGGCTGGACAGAACAGCTAGACTGTGGCCACCGAGCTGAGCCTGAGGGGATGCTAGGGGTCCAAAGCAGGGGCGGTGAGGGGGCAAGTGCATCCTGGCTGGCCGCGAGGCGGCCAGGGCAAATGTCTTCTTGGCCTCTGTGTGACAGTGCTTCTCAACCAATAGAGGGACATGAAAGGCCCGGGACTGGATGGACCTTGGGAGATCACCCCGCTCAACCCCTTCCCTTTGAGAAAGAGGAAATTAAAGTCCCGAAAAGCCAGGATCACAGAAGGGGTACACTGCCTCAGCTCGGTCCGGACCTCACTGCTGGAAGAATCAAACCCAAATCAAACTGGAATAGCCCCCCACCCCCTCTCCGGTCCCTGGGCATGGGATGTGGCTGCCCACGGGCTCTGCGAGGAGGGGAGGTATAACGGAGTCCTATCACCCAACACCAAGTCGACTCTGCAGTGACAGGCAGTGTGGACAGACACGGCCATGTGACAACCTGGGGGGTGGGGCTATTCTGACCAGGCTGGAGACACGGTCAGGACCTAAGGAGAGCAGCCCCCTACACACAAGGAAGGAGGGAACTGAGACCTGAAGTACCTTGGAGGCAGCCAATTCCTGGGTAAGATCCTGGATTTTCTGCTGCTGCTGGATCAGTATTTCTTGGACCGAGGCTAACGTCGCCTGTAACTGAGTCACTGTGCAGGGAAAAAGCAGTCACAGCTCAATGAAAGTGGCCCGCAGAGATTCCCTTCTCTCTCTCTCTCTAATTTATCGAGGGACACTCCCTCTCCCTCTCTCCCCCTTATAATTCATCTGCACTATGGGCAATCTACCTGCACTGCATCTAACCTCCACTATTTCTAGTTTATCTTGCCTTTGTAGAGTTGTCTATAGGCAACAGTATATCCATCCAAAACCTCTCCCTCCTAATTAGATCTACTCAGGATTTGCTCAGCTCTTCCAACTTTGATGGTGTTTGCATCATTCATCTAGCAGGGCCTCACACGTGCCTTCGTGAAACTAGTAGAGAATTTCCAATTCTGAAATCGAATGATTTCCCCTTTCCTTCCTGATAAACACCGCCCAGGAAAGACTAAAAATAGAAGAGTAGGTTTCTCCGGCTGCTCCTCTTCCCCCCGCTCGCTCTCCGGTGCCCCGTCCCCTCCTGAGGGTCACGGGGGATCACTTCCCTGCTGCTGGCCGGCCGCCCCCATCCTTGGGTGCACAGACTCCAGACAGCTTCTAAGGCCAACCCCCCACGAGCCCCAGGCCACACCGAGGAGAAACTCTTGGCCTGTGGTTTGGAAAGCAATTCTGCCCACTTTCGTTTTTCAATCCAGACCTTCCATCCCATAAACAAGTTCATGAAGGAAAAAAGAAGCCCACCGGTGTGACAGGTTACAGCTAATCTGGGCCATCGCAAGGGTGCTGGGTAATGAACGAGAACCCCGTGGAGTCAATAACAGAGAAGGTGGCTGGGGTCACAGGAGCCGCAGTAATTATAGACTCTCTTGACCCCGCTTTGAATTCTTAGAGGGAAGGGGGAAAAAAATCACCGAAAAACCCCCCTGAAAACCTCGGAGAAGCAGAAATTAAAAATGAACTTTACAGCCCCTAGAAAGGCTGTCATTTTATTCCCCTTATTAATATTCTGAGGTTGGGAGCCTTTCCGTAAAAACATAATTAATTGAGGCCGCGCCGACAGTAAACAAGCAATTTCAAATTAAACCGAAATGACGGCGGCTTCATTTGCAAATGTGAACAGATTCTCGAGCAGATAAATGAAGTCACCGCATAGAGTGGGGGGGGGGCCCACACGCAGGGGGCTCAGAGGGGCGAGCTGATGGAGCCATCAGTCTCTACCTGTCTGCGTCATGCTGCCGCTCATCTCCGAGATATTCGCCTCGATTCTCTGAAGCTGCTTCCTGTCCTCCTTGCCTCCCATGAGCAGAGGGAGCAGGTACTTCTGCAAGAAGCAGGATGGGTGTCAGCAGTGACCACCTGCCCCCGGCCCCTTACTTTCCACAGACACCCTGGCTCCCCTGGACCAGCTCTGCCTTCCCTGTGCCCTTCCCTCCAAAGCCGAGTCTGGACAAACACCTCACGAAAGCCTTCTCAAAGTCAGGGGAGAGGCCAGGCTCAGAACCCTGCTATATCTGGGGCCCTCTGCTCTGCCGGCTTAATGCAAAGTCTATGGCTACGGAAGGGCATCGCGGGAAGCCCACCCCTAGTCTGTGAGCTCTCAGAATAACCTCCCAATAAACCCCTCCAGAGCTGGGCTCAAAGACAAGGCCCTCTGACATACGAGACAGAGGCTAAGGGAGGTATGGGAGAGAAGGAAGCTGCCAAGAAATGAAGGGTCAAGCGACAAGCATCAGCAGGGCAGAGGGGAGGAGGAGGAAGGCCCGCCCCGAGCCCCCTAAGCACCAGGCAGGTGACCAAACAGCCTTGTCCAGAATGGCAAAGCCCGCCCCACAAGCCAACCCTCAGCTGGCAGTTCTGGGCCCACCAGGTGTTTCTAAACTCTTCCTTCGGCCCATCGTTGACCTGGGCCCCACAAAAGGAGAGACAGCAACTTCTCCATTAGCAGTTTCTTACTGGGGAGGGAAAAGGAGGTGACTCACAAGGGGTTTGTGGGAACCGCTCCTAAGTGAAGCTCGTCAGTTCACATTTCTGCGCAAGCACCTTCTAGTCTATTCTGCTAAGTGCTTTTCCCAATGGCTGGTATCAGTTCTTGCCCACAATACTTTGGAAACATGTCAAAGTTCCCACTCGAGTGGAGACTGGGAAAGTTCAGAGCCAGGAAGTGAGTGGATACTCTGAGCGAGGGTCCTCCTAAGGAGGGAGGATCATTTACCCAGCCCCCTGGCAAAAGCTCGGCCTCTCTCCCACTTTATAACTACCTTTTATAACAACAGCTGGGTGGCTCCTTTCATTCATCCATCTTTTTTCCTACACCCAAGTCACCCAACCTCTCAAAGACGACCTAAAGGCTTCAGAGAGAGGAGGTGTAGACAGGCACTGCCCTCAGGAGCTCCCTCTCCCAGGGACACCACCGTTCCTGGGCCGATCCCCCATCCCTCGCCTACCTTTCCACTCCCACTTCCCTCTCTCTCTCTAAGGCCCAGAGGGAAGGAGACCAGAACTCACTACCCACATCCAAAGACACGTCTTCCTGGCTATGTCAATGGAATAGTCCTGGGTCCTTGGACTGCACAATGAACAGCTCTTTAGCCATTACTTATTATTTATCATGTGAGGCGCCGGTTTGAAAAGGCTTTCAGGAGTTCACTGTTCTTTCTAATTTGACAGTGTTTACACTGCAGTCTTCTATGACCAACAACTAACACATGAAGGAGAGGGCCAGGACTGGGGAACTTTTGTTTTGAATCTTTGATGCTGAACCATCAGCCTCTGGCACCAGCCTTTACATACAGAGAGGTATCTGCTGCTTCTCAGCCAGCCAACAGCTTCTGAATCAGGCAACAACAAGGAGTCCTGAAGTGGAGGTGCATCATAAGCAAGAGATTTCCAGCTTAACGTGAGTTTAACTCTCAACAAGTTCACTGAATGGGATAGAGGGACTCTGGATTTGAGTGTGGATTAGACTAGGTAACCTCTCAGGGCCTTTCAATGATGGGATTCTAGGACGAAAAGTGATTCTGAATATCTCAGTGAAGCACTCACAGAGGTGAACAAGGGCGGGGACAGTGGAGAAAGTACATCAGCATGGTGGGAACAGTGCTCCCCACTCGCTCTCTCATCCCCTGTGTTCTCAGGCGCCTCCCCCCTTCGGGGGATAACACCACTCAGAATGACTCCAAACCATGGCCTGGCCTCCTCTCGGTCAGACTGCTAGCTCCTTCTGGGAAATAAGGGCCCATTTGAAGGGCATCTTCTGGTGGGTCCATCAACTTTGAGATCCCATGTTTTTGCATGAAAACTCTTAGCAGATTCATAGCCTTCTTTAATGAGCAGAATTTGTGTTTGTTTATGAATAATACCTTAGACTTATATGCAAAAGAATGTAATATACTTGCAATATAAGAGGCTGAAGGACAGGCCTACGTCTAAGATCGTCATGCTTCTGATCACACTGGCATCCACAGATGGGAGAACCTCAGCTATCTCTCTATGGCACCCTCTGCACCTCTCATTTGTCACATTCGAGTCCATAACCTGCTACCAGGGAAATTCTCATTGTAACCTTTCCTGGCTCTCTGAGGGGGACAGGGGAGGTCTTCCTGCACAGATAAAGGAAGGGATGCATCAGAAGTAGCACACTTGGCAGCCTTCTCAGGACCTCAGCCCCGAGCCACACATACCTTGTAGAGCTGGTGGAAGCCAAAGGCGATGCCTGCCATGATGATGGTCAGAGCCCCATAATCTCGCCATCTAGAACCTGTAGGGTCTAATGGTAGGAGAGAGAGAAACACAAGTGAAGAAAACAGACACCACAGTCTACTTCCAACTGCAGGGGAGGGAGAGGAAGGAGGAGCTAACTTGCCCAGGGTCACAGAGCTAGTAAGTGTTGAAAGCAGAATCGGAACTCTAGTCTTCCTGCCATTGAGGGCAGCCCCCTGCTCACTGTGCCCCCTCGGGAGTCTCCTCTGTAAGTGAGAGAAGGAAAAAGAGGCAGCCTTCTTAGAAACAGAAGCGATGCCACAAAGGATGCTCCTGCCCAGGACACTCCTTGGGTCCTCCCTCGCTCAGGCAGGGCCCACTCGCCTGCTCTGTGCCTGCTGCTCTCCCCCAGCACAACGGTCAGAGCTTTGAGAGCCTCCACAGTGCATGGGGAACCCTTTCAACCGAGGTCCAGGGTCAGACACCTGAAACTCCCAGGCCACATCCCCTAAACGGCATTCCCATCACACTAATGTCACAAGAAAGACAGGAATCTGGAAATGGATTTGGGAGAAGAAAAGAGCTATAGGATTCCTGACCCTCATTAAAAGAGCATCAGAAATCAGCTGAGCAAAGCATAGGGGCTGATTCTTCTCCTCACCAAACGGAACCAAGAGCCCCCTGTGTTTCACGCATTTCCTCCCCTCCCCTCCAACACACACCCATAAAGCTGCTGGCGAGGCCCTCATGATGCTCAGGGTTTTCATTAATAATCCAGAGACAGCAGAATGATCTTTCTTAAAGTTCAGTAGCAGGATGTGGGCACACACACCAAGGAAACCTCTGGCCAACAGCCCAGGCAAGGCAGATCCATGACCGGAGTCTTCCCAGGGCTTGACAAAGACGATCCTCCTTTTCTCCTTCCCCCCTGCTCAGCTCTGCTCAATGGGCTTCTGTGGAGACTGAGGCTCCATCCATCAATCGAGATGCCTGGAAGTGTCTTTCCTTGGCCACCACACTCACTCACCTGCTCACTCCCTCAGTGCCTGTGGATTTCAGATGAACTCTGCCAAAGCCAAGACCTGCCCAGAGCCGCTTTCATAAAATACTAACTGGGAAGCTCTCCCCTAAACTTTCCTCTCAGAGTCTAGGAAACGTCCTCCTAAAGAGGCTGCCTAACCAGAGGGTCCAGATATGTGGAGGTCCCCATCTGTCATAAAACAAAGGACACAATCTCTGGGAAATCACACACCCACTCCTAGGACCTGAGAGTTTTAAGAAGGCCCCGAAAGCATCAGGTCCAAGCCATGCCTCAAAGGAGTCCCCTCCACAACCTCCAGGCCACACCATCATCCACTTTCACTCTTATTTAATTAGAAAACAATGAGCCCATTAGAGAATTGGTTAAGAGCATGGAAGGCAGTATTGGCCAGAGTTGGCTGGCTCTCTGACCTTGATCTCACACAGACCAGGGAGTCAGAGGGTCAGCTTTATGTGCTCGTCCTTTGGCCATGCTTCTAATAAATGTTCAATATTAGGAGAATGGAGACAAGAAAGCATAGTGTCTACTGCTTAGGACAGTCAGTATTCAGCTGGGCTTTACTTAGGGCATGAGCTATCCATTATATGGCCTTAGACCTGAGAGAGAACAGCACTTCCATCCTTGGCATGTACTCAGAATAAAGAACTACACCTACATTTGTTACTCCAAAATCCACTGAACACACACTAGGTAAGAGACAGCAACTGGGTTGAAACCAGAAGCACCAACCTTCATAATCACATTCTTCCAGGCTCCAAGGGGTTAAAGCCAGGCCAAGAAGCAGAGCTGGCTTCAGAGCTGCTCCCACCTTCCAGGCACCCTGACCCCGGTGCAGAATTGAGAAACACCTGTAGTTCCTTGTGAGATGCACCCTTCACCTCTCTCATCGCTCCCTCCGTTCCTGTCATGCTCACGCTAAGAACATTTTATTGCCCTCTGGTTTTCATTATTAATGAAAAGGGACCAGAATGATCTTTCCTAAAGTTCAGAGAGTCTATAAAGAGAAGAAGCCGAAATGCCATTTGACTCGTTTTGGAGATGGTGATACAACTGTCTGGTGGCAAAAAGGGAAGGAAAAGGAAGAGCAGGCCTGGGGAGGGCTCTCACTAGCCTGAGGTGCTTTCAGAGGGAAGAAGAACTCGGACTGGGACACAGTGATAATGTTCTCCAGGTCCTGGTCCAGTTCACTTCAACAAATGTTTATTAAACACCTACATCTGGCAAAAGTCCTCCTTCCATTCTCCCCCCACCAAACCCCAAACTACTTGGCTTCTTCTCTCGAGCTCCTTTCCCCCCCCCATTCCCTTGAGCTCCTTTCCCCCCATTCCCTCAGATCTCTCATGGGAATCAGAAAAGAGACTCAGGGAGGCCACAGAAAACACGGGTCTCCTCCCTGAACCTCCAGAACCGGAAAGAGAGCTGCGTAGACCAGGCCAGTCGACCTCCTGCTCCAGATTGTAAGAGAGGAGAGCATCAGGGAGCATGAGCCGTGGGCTCTGGGAAGAGGACCTGGATGTGGACACAGACCAGCCATGTCTACAGGAGATGACGACTCCCCAGAGAGAAGGCAGAAAGTGGCCAGGAGCGCAAGAACCCGGAGATCCCGGAGCCTCCCAAAGCTCTCTTCTTCCCAAGGCCAGATTCAGAGAACGAGACGGGAATCTGCTGCAATTAAAAAGCACAGCAGAGCAACGAGAACTCGCCTTTCTATGAGATCTGGACCGGCAGCTCTAACTAGCTGCCGGATCAAAGCAATCTTTAAAAGGAGACACTCGGGATTCCAAGGAGCCATCATGACCATCTTCAAGAACACAGCCCCAGGAGAATCTAAGTGCCCTATGGGCTGGGAGTGTCACACTTCTGACTCTGTGTCCCCAGTGCCTAGTACAGGGCCTGGCACCCAGTAGGCACTTAAATGCTTGATGAGGGAATGAACGAATGACACACTTTAGTATCCCACGGACAATATTCTACTGTGAGTCCTTCGGGACTCCCGAAGGATGCTGGGACCACAGATCTGGCGCTAAGAAACGCCTGAAGAGGCCATCTGGTAACAACTCTCTCAACGCCCACAAACAGGAAGTGGCGGAGTGAGAATCTGAACCCAGATCCCGACTCCACAGCCAGCTTTCTCTCTCCTGTACCCTACTGCCTTCTCTACCCTGAAGGGACCCAAGCTCCTGGAAGGCTTAATGTAACTTCAGTCTCATCTTTGTGTCTCCAGCACCTCTCACGGAGCAATGCACTGAGTAGGTGTTTAATAACATCTGCTGAACTAACTTGACTAGGATGTGGGAAACACTACCTAACTTGGCCAATCAGACTGGCCCAAAACAGCACGATGTGAGCGTGAGGGCTGAGCACAGAGAGCACTCGGTATAGCTGCGGTCAGGAAGCCCCGAATTCAAATCTTGCTTCAGGCACTTACTCACTGGCTGGGTGACTCTAGGCTGGGGTACCTTGGGCTCCTCAAATGTAAAATGAGGACCGTAACAGCATCAAGGTCTCAGGATTGTGAGGACCAAATGAGGGTAACTGCAGAGCGCTTTGCAGATTCTGAACTGCTCATACAAGCCCGCCATCATCATGACTGCAACTGGTGTGCCCCGGGCATCCTGCTCCCTGCCCTTGGAAGCCTGGGTTCCGGCCAGAGTTCAGGCAGATGCCAGCACTGCCTCACGCCCTCTGGTCATGCATGGGATCACCACTCAAAACAGCAAAGAAGCCTCCAAGTTGAAGAACCCTCCTCACAGTTCCTAAAACATGCTCCCCGGCCTTCGGAGCGGCCCACACAGGTGGCAGGGCTCAAAAGCTTCCTGCCCACTCACCCACCGCAAAGCCGCTGCCCTGGACAGGCAGGGACCGAGAAGGCACTGCTCTGTGCTGCTGCGGAGATCCGGAAATGGCCCTGAAGACTTGCATCTGAAATGCACTATCCCACCATGACACTGCCCTAACAGATGATGGGGAGGCACTAGTGTGGCTCAGGGTGGCTTCTGAGGGCTGGCATGGGTCTCCAGCTGCTATTTCTGTGGTTAACTGCGCTCCAGAGCCTCAACAACTCAACAACCGTGCCCCTACAGGGCACAGGATTCAGCACCCCTCCGACCCCGGCCACCGTCCTGAACACCGCTAAAATGGGATGAGTCCTGGGCTAAGCCCTGCAGGAGCGGCATTCAGCCCGCCTGCCCATTCCTAACGCCTGTAGCAAAGCTCCTTTGGAACAAAGCACCCCATGCAATGTCCTTTCAACTAATGCCCCGTTTTCACAGAACAAATTAACAACGGCAGGTGAGGGTTTTCCCTTTAGTGGAAAGTGCAAGTTGCGAGTTAGAATGGCAGAGAGATGTCTCCTTCCTGCTGTTCCCTATCTTTTGATGGGCTGTCCTCCGCGCCTGAAATCATAGCTAGCATTTATGTCTCACAATAAGGTTGCAAAGTGGCTTATATGTTACCCCGTTTGATCCTCTCAACAACCCTCAGAGACAGATACTGTTACTGTCACCATTTCAGAGCTGAGGAAACTGAGGTAGGTGGAAGGGCAGTGACTTGCCCAGGGTCAACCAGCTAGTGACGGTTTCAGGAGGATTTGAGCTCAGACCATCCTGCCTCCAGGTTGGTGCCACCTCAATGCCCTCTCCAGTCAGAATCCCTGGCTTTCCTTTCCTCTCCAGCACCAGACAACTACCTGGTATTGTCCATCTTGTACTGACTTGTGTAAACACGGAGATGTCCTCTCCCCCAGTAGGGTGGGAATGGCTTCACTCTTTGGATTGTTTCCCTAGCACCAAGCGTAGAGTCTGGCACATAGCGGGCACTTAATAAATGCTTACAGATGGATAGAAGATGGGCACTTTGGAGGTTTACATGAAAGGCCAAGTGAGACAGTCTAGGTAAAGTATTTTGCAAATCTTAAAGCGATACATAAACGTCAGCTGTTCCTATCATTATTATTAGTGCTTTGTGGTGCACACACATGATCCCACGTGGCCTTCCCACCCTCCCTGTGAGGCACACAACATCACCGTTATTTTCTGGAAGAGGAAACAAAGGTTCCAGAGGTTAGATGACTTGCCCAGGGTCACAAAGCTGTAAAGGGTACCTAAGCAATGTGGGTGTGCCAAGTCCACTGGTCTTTGTCCCCTGCCAGCCTGCCGTGGGTGACGTGCATAAATATCCCCAGATCACAGGCGCTCCCGGCTGTTCTCCCTCCCTTCTCCTCCAGCGGGGAATCTCACCTCACCTTGCTCTTTCATTTAACTTCTAATACACTTTTTAATCCGTGTCTGTTACTGTTGTTTTAGTACACTTACAACTTGGCATTTCATTACACCATTTCGCCTTGTTCAATAAGCATTTCATGTGTATTAGTCTTGTTTCTTCAACCCAACAGTAAATTTCTTGAAAACAGGGCGTGTGTTTGATGTTTCTCCCATATACCCCAGAGCACAGAGCACAGCACAATGCTAACTATAGAACAGGCCCTCAACAGATCCCCACTGACTGACTGGCCCAAGGACCACTATGCTTGTCTTTTCTGGGGCTTAGCCACATCACTGGAAAATCTTGGAGAAGCCATGCCTGCTATCCAGCGTGCCCCTGGAGAAACCCACTGATTTTAACATAAGCCTAAGGATAAGATGATTAAAAAAGGTAAGCCTATTTTTTAATGGCATAGAATGAATTTCAAAGCTCCTGTTGCCTGGGGGGGAGCCAACATCCCACTTGGTGGATGACTGGGGGACAGAGGAGGAGGAGGGGAGCAGGGTCCAGCCCCTCTCCTCACCAGCCTTACCTGAACCCTGGAATAGTCAAGGATGGCGCCACAGAGACCGGAAAAGAGAAAATCCCATAGGCCTGGTACGGGCCACGAGTCCTTTGTAGCGAGGACCAGGCATATACAACTTATAAAAATAATCAGCACTGAGGTGAGAGGTGGGTGGGGCTGATGACCTCACTGAAGAGCTAACAAGAAAGATCTTTCCCTCCCAACAAGGAAAAATCAAGTTGACTTATTCACAGCTACAAAAGAAAGATGTTATCTTCTCCCTGATGAAATAGCCAAAATATTTAACCTAAGTTAATGGTGAAAGTGTCACTCATTTATATTTGATTTCAAAGACACGACTAGTGAATGAATAAATGAATAAGTGAATGAAGTAAACAAGGTCACGGGTCAACCTCGTGTGTCAAAAGGTTTTTTAAAGAAACCCTTTATGCCTAGCTTTCATGGACACCTTGCAGAATTGGTACTGACCCTATGCACATCTCAATGCCACCCCCTCTCCCATCCCAATTTCTATAAGTGTGAATAAATGGAGAGCAAGCACAAGTTTGTGGTGGCCTGTCATTCTTTTATTTGACTAACACCTATGGGCTGCCTACTGTGTACAATGCACAGTAAGTCCTTACTGAATGAGGGAACTGCCTTCAGGCTCACCTGATGCCCTTCACACACTGAGCCTACTGGCCTAAGCTACATAGTTGGCCTGCGCCAAGCCTCCCTTTGGCCCCCACACACCACTTCCATGAAGCATTCCGTGAGTCCTCCAGCCTCCACCGGCCTCACTCTTCTCTGGACTCCTGAAGTACTTCTGATTTTTTCTGGGCATTCTGGGCCTTAATCAAATGACAGTGTCATACAAGATTAACGCGCGCGCGTGTGTGTGTGTGTGTGTGTGTGTGTGTGTTTTCAGAACAGAGGACCCCCCCACACACACACACACATACACACAGTCCTCACATATAGCTAAGCAAGGCCCTGAGTGTAAGCAGGCCCTCAATAAAGACAGACGGCACTGAAATGGTGTCATTACTCCAGGTTCCTGGCCTCATTTTACCTGTACTTGCTAAAATCTGAAGGGCACTTAAATTTCCCTAATAAGGGAAATGCTGAAAAGGAGATACGGCTTCCTCATCAGTAATCTGCAGAGGCTCCATGCTTTGCTTCCCTCTCCAGGTTGCTGGGATGCCATGAGATAAGAGGGGCAGGAGCCCTGAAAACTGTCCAGGGCTGTCCAATCATCCCCAACCTAAGACAATTCCTACTTTATTGCTCTTGTGCTCTTAGCACGAGCTGGCTCTGCCCACAAGGAAGGCACCCCAAGAGCTCAGGACACCAGAATATGACTGTTCTTGAACTGCTCACTGAGAAGAGACTGCTGTCTGGAACATGGGCCCCAGGAGACCCCTCCAAGGTCACTCAGGGCATCTCCAACAAAATGAGGGAGGGAGTCCAGCCTTCTCGTCCTGTGTGTCCCTCTGTCCTTCCAAAGGGCCAGTGACAGAGGAAATGGAGTGCCAGGCCCCTAAGCAGCTGCTACCGGGCCTGGACTATGAGCACCTCTAAAACCAAAAAGAAGACGTGTGCATGGAGGCCATAAATACCTCATGCAGGGACACAGACAATGCCTTGGCGATAAGCATGCAGACTGCACACCTAGTTCAGAAACTCCCCTGAGTTTGCTTGTAATTAAGGGGGTTAGAAAGGTAAAAAAAAAAAATAAACCCAATTAATCATTTAAATATTTAAAGTCAGGTTTTCTCCTCACTCCAAGATCAGTATATTTCATAAAGCCAGCAGCCGACAGCCCTGGTTTTTACTGGGGTTCATTTCAGAGCATGTTTAAACTAGTCAGATTGAGTGATGCTTCCAGCAACTAATCGCATGTCAAATAAAAGATATTTTATGTAATAAATTACCGCTACAAGTAATTCAAATGTCATTTATCAGTTTTATTATCAGTCAGGCAAAGTCTTGTTTCTCTATATTAATCAAAATCAAGCTTTTTTTTTTTTTGAAGCAGTTTTGACACCTCTTGGCAAAAGTACCGAAGGGAAAAGACAGAATTACCCCCGTTGAGCTGAGAGGAGCTATGTAACGGTTTAAGAAGAATGAAGCTAAAGGGAGAGAACTAAAAACTCGATGTATTTAAAATGATAATTACTAGGATTTTTACTCTAGTGGCAGCAACAGAAGGATTTTTTCCTCTGCTAGAATGCTTTTTGATTTTCTGGGTAAGGAGAATTTTTAAAATATACCAATCTGGAAGAAATCGCAACAAGCTCATGCTTTTACTCCAAGAGGCGTGGGCATCAGAAACTCTTTAAAGCAAGCGAAATGGTGGTTTTCCTCTCACCAAAAAGAGTCTTTGTTTAATCATGCTAGTCCACTGAACCCAGGCAAGTTCACTGAGACTCTGGCCCAACTCTCTGACCCCCTAAAGCAATTTGTTCCGAGCAAAGAGTAGCCCTGTATCCCTGGAGACCTATTCATATTAAGCCATGTAAGGAAGCAGCTGGAATCCAACAGATGTGCCTCCTGCAAGAATTCTGACAGCTGCCAGTGCCTATCCTGAGCGAGTGCCGCAAAAGGCCGGCCCAAGGACTCAACTGCAGAAAAAGGAGTGCATCCCAACCCGTTGGCTAAAAAGCAGCCGGGAAGGGCGCTCGGTGACGCGCAGCAAACACCCACAAGCTGCATGATACAGAGGAACGGACCCAGCCTACCGAGCGGTTGCTACCAACTCTCCAGTAACTAACTTAAGGGAAACGAAAGCCAAACACCTCAGCTGGGCTTCCTGCCCTGACGTGTGTCAGTCTGGTCAATAAGGCGGTGTTTGAGAAGACAAGCCAGGAGCGTCTGCCCTCTCTAATCCACAGCCTCCTCTACAAGAGAGCACGGGAAGGAGAGGGGACAAATGAGGTCGGAGGCACAGAGCGCATGTATCCCCCTTGTGCCTTATCCACTGGGGAGGCCACTGGAGGGCCTCACGAGACCCCACCCACATTCCTCTAGCAGGGGCCTCTTAGCCTGTTGCTCAACCCAAAGAGAAAGGGACAGGTAAAGAAAAATTTAAATCAGCTACCAGGTGAGAAAAATGGATTTGTCTCTTTGAGACTTGCCCTTAAAAACCTGATACTTAAAATGATTTTACAGCTTGGGGGAAAAAAAAACAACCAACCAACCAACCCACCCACAACTTCCCAAAGCCACCTTCCAAAGTGCATGGGGAAGATGAAGACAACACAGGAAAAGCCTCCGGAAGGAAGGCCAACAGGCGGCCCCTGCGGAATTTCTTTAAAGGAACCAAGAAGGAAGTGGGCTATTTACCAGTCCCAAGGGCCTCAGCCTAGTCGGCGGCATAATGCTCCACGAGACCCGAAAGGGAGCTTAGGGCCTGCTTAGATATTTTGGGGGTGTATGTTGCTGCCATTACCTGCCATAATCTACCCTTCTAAAATAGCGTTCATAACAAACCTCGTGATTAACATTCATACACAATTAAGAGCAATTAAGAGGGAGGATTTTTACATTTGAGTTGGGAAACCCCTAAAGAGATCCTACCACAGATGAATGAATGAGCCAGGATCTTAAAATTTTTAAAAACTAAAAGACTGATCAAGACTTGCTTTAACAAAAATTTTAAATAATAAGAAAACAAATGATCTCACTGAGCAACCAGAAGCGGGAAAAAACTTTCCTCAGTAGTCAAGAGACTTCATACTAACTCGAAACAGTAAAATGGGGCAGCACCAGGCCACACCGTCTGAAAAGTGGGGGGAGAGAACCAACATGCACGTGGCCTCTGTGTTTTCTTTCGTGTAACAGAGAGGCCTGCTATGCTACACTCGGCATCGGTGGACGAAAAGGACGAGGTGCACCCCATTCAGCTGGGAAGGGCCTCTTGGAGGATTTCTCCCCAAGGGGAACGATCCGCAAGCTTCCTTGAGAAGGGAAAGGAAAGGGAGGAAGATGACCCCAGCCCGAGGCAGCCGAGAGGTCCAGAAGCAGAAGGCCAAACAGGGCCGAGGCCAGAGTGGCAACGGGTGACTTACTGTAGGGCTGAGGCAGGAGGTGAGGGGGCTGGAGGGGCATCATCGGGGCGGAAGGGCCCAAGGACTGAGACTCATCGGCAGCCATGCCCGACTGCTGGAAAGCCAAGTCAATCTCTTCATCTGTCAGCCCTGAGAGGGAAGAGGAAATGAGATGGGGTTAGCACCTCTCTCTGCTTACTGTGACTCGAACGCAATCTTTGGTGAGACGGGACCCCTTCAGCTGCAGAACGTCAGGCGTGGTGATTCCTGGGCTGTCACTTCCCCGATTTTGGATTCTCTGGAACCTCTCTCTGCTGCAATTTAACCTTAAGCGACAGAATATTAGCCTCAACGCTGCTTCCAAATGTGGCTCATTCAATTTCCTTAATTTATCCTTGAGTTTATTGCTGCTTTTCAAGTCGCTCCGTACTGCAATTCTCCATTCTTCCCCTGAAAACAGATACCATCAACTGCAAATGTGGCTCATTTTAATCTGTAATGGTGTTAAAAAAAAAGAGGGGAAAAAACTAACAATAATGCATGAAAACAGACAGGGAAACAAAAAACTAATTATTGGGTGAGACGACTAATTAGTCTAGATCGTTTCCGAAGACGGGAATAATTTGCTTTATTTTATGACAAATGCAGAAATAAAAAGAAAAATCAGGACTGACTGTGATTAGTATGAATGGGATATAGAATGTAAAGAAGAAAATAAAACAAGAAAACAGATCAAAACAAGGCCGGGCCCAAACTTTCAGATGATTATTGCTCCAGCCTATGACAGGCAGTTGCCTAGATCGCCTTTGGCTAGTGTCTGACTCTCCTCCGCTCTCCCCTCTCCCCCTTTCTTTCTCTCTCTTCTCTCTTCTTTTCTTGTTTCTCTCTCTCTCCCTCCCTCCTCTTCTAGCCACTTTGCACATGGGACAGTGGGGAATACCAGGGTGCCATCTGCAGTGGCTACAACATGTGGAGAGGATTTCCCCATGAAGGAATAAAAAGCACATGAAACCCTTCCCAAGGGCAACACCTGGGTCAGGCATAGAGCTCAAGGCCTTAAAAACCAGGCTCACGACCAGAAGTGCAGGAGAGGATGGTAACTGCAGTGGCCTAACCCAAGGAGAGAAGGGAGAAGGCCTAGGCTCTGGAGAGCCAAAGAACTTTCCCCCAAGACAAATCAGGGATGTTCGCTGTGTGTGCGCACCAGAGCCCGGGGCTCCCGAGCAAGAGAGCAGGCGGTGGCCGCTGCCAGTGTGCAAACACTGCCCTGAGCAGCCCACACCATTCCCGGAATCCCAGTATCCAGCCCAGCCACAACACAGAGCTTTTAAACTGGAGCAGAGAGCTTTCCACATCTGGTCTGCAGCTCTGCATTTTGGCTCCATTAGAGGCCCACACCATGGTCTATTTGCCCCTAGGGGTAGATGAAGTACAAGCAGGTTCTGAGGATCAGCTTCTTCAAAAGGGTGGTGCCTCGAACTCTGTGTCAAGGGGCTAATAGATGGAGCATATTAGCGCTTTAAAGCATAGCCCTGCCTGGCCCCATCCTGGTGGGTGTGCGGCCAGGCCACAGGCCAGTGCTGCCCAGGAGGGCTCTGGCCCCTCTTCTCTCCCCAGCTGACCTGGCCACACGTGATTCCACCAGGGCTGTGCTCCCCTGCAGACCAGCAGGCAAGGCCCTAGGAATGGGCCAGATAGGAGGCATTCATCATTCTGCTGACCCAAGCAGCCTTGCTCCTTGACCTGGCCTTTCACCTCCAAAGATGACTAAAATGAGTGGCCAGGAGGACTAGCCCTTGTGACCACAGTGACCTGAGGCTCCTAAACACTGGTCCTTACGGTCCCAGGAAAGGAACAGGACGTGGCCTCAAAGGCCTACCTACCAGGTAAAAAAAACCGTTTTAACCAGTTCATAATCAGCCATTAGAGGAGAGAGCCACACATGCCAACGTCAGCATGGGCTGCTGGTCACTGGCACACAGCAGAATTTTATAAACCTGGTGGTTCGCGTGCCTTGTCAGCCGCTGGCTGCAAATGAGGATAATTTTCCCAAAAGGAGCATTTAGTTGCATTCTCATTTTCCCTTTTGGCTCTTTCAAATATAAACAAGTATGATAATGTTTAACGCTGGGGAAATATACAGTAAGTTACAGGCGGTGCTCCAGCCGTGGGCAGCTGAAGCCGGTTAAAGGGAGAGGACGCTCTGCCCAGTGCTTAGCCCTGCAGCTTTGGTGCAAACTGTTTCACTACTAAAACATGTCTTTTGTATTATTACAGCCATGCCCACTATTGAGGCTGGAGTGAAAAAGGAAGCCCCAAATGTGCACTGCCTGAAATGCCCACTTCCCCTAGTTCACTCAGTTTACAAACATTAAGTCAACTAAGATATATATTTGTAAAACAGCTGGCCAATTTACCTGCTGTTTTTGTTTTTTTTTTTTAGAATAACATAATTTTAGCAAGAAAATATAGAATGTTAGCAAGGAACCAGTCAGAGCTGAGCGAGAAGCTCAGAAAACAGAATGTCAGGGCTGGGAGGGGCCTCTGCTAGTCTTGAGCCCAATGCCCTCATTTTACAGAGGCCAAGGTCAAACAGCTAACTTAGTGGCAGAGCAGAGACCGTGTCTCCTAGCCCAGTCACCCTTCTACCACGTCATACCGAGTTATAAGAGAAAGAGGGCAGGAATGAGACAGAACCTGCAGCTTTCCAAGTTTATGTAAAGAGGTTATGATAAGGACTCCTCTTCCTCCAGAAAACTTCAGACTTTCCCTGATCATAAACAAGTCAATGAGGGACCGGTTTACCCTCCCCAGAGGCCATAAAGAAAATGAACAAGTGGATCCTGGCTGCAAACTCAACATCGACAATTCTGGAGTAACAGTGTGATGGCAGAGAACGTCCTTCTGGTGTCAGCCTGCTGCTGTGACCCCCACAGATCAGTCTCTATGCTTCACTGAATGTCCTCTCTCCCGTTTCTCTGTCTCTGTCTTTTTTCTGTAGACTGAGACACCTGAATGGGACGGTCATTTTCTCCCAGTCCTGAAGCATCTCTGCCCTGGGAGAGGGATGACACCAAAGTCCCCTCACCCCCGCCCCCAGCACTCACAAACAGTGGGCATCTTCAAGGCCCAGTGAGATTAAGACCACGCAGGCTTCAAAAGGTTAAAAGGAACAATAAAGGAGACTGCCAATTGTAAGTGAATTATATTTGGCTTTGAAAGCTGAGGCACCGGCTATATTATGAAAGGCATCTCTTTGCGTTGTTTACCATCACCCTGACTAATGCAGACCTTTTTTTTTGTTTTAAATAATCTCATGCAAATTAGACACACACACTTCCTTCCAGTTGATTGCTATCTGCAAGGAATAATCTAACCACAGAGGGTACTGAGCAAGGACTGAGCACAGCGGAGGGATGGAGCACACTGGCTTCCTAATCCTATGGCATGGAAGCCTTTTCCCCCCTCTACCTCCCCCTTCCCCAGCCCGCTAATTCTTCCTCAGAGCTGCTGCCTTTGGAAGAATTAGTCATAATTTTCATAAAGCCTAAAATTTTCTTTTGGGTTTCAATTTGCATTCTATTACACCAACAGTGTTCCTTGCATTCAGATGCTCTCTCAGGAACTTCACTGCCGCCACTTGGTAATTTTCAGGAGCCACCAGCCCCTCTGAAGGCTTTCGCCCTTGGTCACTTAAACCTAGAATCAACAGAACCTGAAGCCAGGAAAGACCCCTGGGTTATCAGGTCAGGCCCCACCAGTTCTGCCAAGGAGAGCCAGGAAGGAGGTGGATAGAAGCTGCTAGGGATGGAGGGTGGAGGCTGAGCAAGCAGGAGGCTGATGCCACTGGAGCAGAAAACCCTGGAGCCCCCTGTCTTCTCAGAAAGCCCTGGAACAAGGGCTCGGGCAAAATTCCCTGGAAGCTAGCTGCTAGGCTCCATTCTGCCCCTTGCTCTGGAAGGGCAGCAGCCACTGGCTTTAGAGGCTGAGGAGGTCCCCCTCCTAAGAACGCTTTTGATTTGGGGAGCTTTATTGCTGCTGCCTGAAACAACGGCCTCATGGCTGGTACCATAGCTGTGCCCCCTCACTGTTCTCTTTTTAAGCAAAAGACAAACAATTTATTTTGTTCTGCTTTTCTGGAAGGTTTCTGTTATAAAGTAAACAAAACAAGAAAGTGGTTGACTTCGTGGGCTGGAAGGAACTGGTCCACCTGCTGCCTCAGGGCCTTCCCTCAGGGCTCCCAAGGCCCAGAAGCCAACTCCCTAGGACCATGGGTCTCCAGGTCCTCCCAGCTGCCTCACAGGTGAGGACTGAGAGGGCAAGCGTGGGAAGCTGCTCACCAAGCCCCAGTGCCTCTTGGTGCTCAGTCAGAGTCTGTCCTAGGCAGAAGAGCATCGCCTGGCTCTGCAGGAACAAGGCTGGGAAGCCAGAGGCTGAGGGCCAGGAGGTTCCAAAGGCGCTCTGGACTCCTGGTTCAGGTGACCCCTGGGGAGCACAGGGACACAAAGCTGTCGAAGTCACAGTTCCCCACCCCCCAACACACACACACACACACACACACACACACACACACACACACACACGCACGCACACACACACATTCAAGTCAGCAAGCCAATGGCAAGAGAGAACTTCCCTGGCTGCGGGGAAAAATCTCTCCGAATGAAAAGAAAAATCAACTCACCCAGAAAAGGTTGAAGGGGAAGAAAGAGAAGGGTAGAAAAAGTATTTTTTTTTATTTTATTATTAACATTTTGTTGGAACAGTGGAGTGCAATAAGGCCTCTCCGAGGCTTTAAAAGTCGTGGGATGACCTGGAGACCCCTATTTCCCAGTGCCTTGTATAAAATTGAATTTTTTAAACATAAATTACACGTAATGACGACACTGTAAAAACTAACAGTAATGGAAAGCTGTGCTGTATTTCATTAGCCTGTATTATTCCGTGCCACCTGATCCAGCCAGGCCTTGTTTATGAGTTAGTGTGTTAGCAGATGCCGATGGAAGCATTTGCTTCGACCTTGCTCTTCTCATTGGGGCATGAAATTACGACGGCAGCACCTTGATATTACAGCCATAAATACAGTAAACTGCAAATTTAAGCCAACGGCTCCTATTGTCTCTGAACATAAAGCTGATCGGTATTTATTT